ATTTTTTATTCGTTTCGAAAATGCGGATCTGCGGAGTTTCCCTGCGGTAGAAGAAAAAGCAGTACGACGGCGGTGTATGCGTTTGCCTGTTAGTATCTCGTCTTGTAACATGAATATATGAAGTTGCGGTGAACTCGTCGCCGATCGCATTAGAGCGGATCTCGCGGAAAATTTATCGGGTCTGCGTATTGCGGGGGATCGATATGAGAGCGATATATAGCGTCGGGATTTGTGGGAATCCTTAGCTCGGTATTGGACCGCTGGTATTTTTGTACGGATCGCAAAAGCGATAAATTGCGAGGCCGAAGACCGAAGCGAATTCTAATTGCGTGAATCGCTCGGGCGTAAAACGTCGCCGGGAAAATCATTTATTTATTGTCACTCGCTCGGACAGACTCGGGAATGCAAAGCAGCGGCAGCGTGACTGACGATGTTTAAGTGAATCGACGAAGCATAAAATAGTTATAAGAATTACTCTTTAAATAATTTCTAGATCGGTATATACAAATATTTTAAATAATATCCAGAGAGTGAAGATAAAAATAAAATAGAAAGGACGATTACAATATGAAAATAATTTCAGCCTCATGTTAACAAGGAAAGTAAATGAGTGCCAAATTTTTCATTTTATTTCGCTGCAATTATTACATTTTCGTTAAAACAATATATAATATTCCTTTTTACTTTAAATTAATTTCACATTTAAAATTATTGCTTTTGCCAATTCTTACTTTTCCTAATTCATACTCTTTCATTCAATATCATTTGGAATTAAATAACTTTTTCTTAATAAGAATATGGATAATATTTGTAGTCTCTCTCTCTCTCTCTCTCTCTCTCTCTTTCTCCTTTTTGACTAACTTGTACCTTTTTCCCACTTGTACGTTTCTCGTTAATTATTCAAAATCCGAAAAACCAAGCGATCATTCTTTTCAGAAAGTTTCAAGAAAATTCCTTCTTCATATATCGCGCATTGTATGTTTTGCATTGAGGATCCTTCGTATACTTATATACTTCATCCGGTAGTCGCATACAACGAAAACCATAAGTATACTGAGAAAGTGTGCCATACCGGTGACAAAGAGAGCCGTCTAAGTGCCACAATGGGCATGACAAAGACGAACGAGCTATAACTCGCGCTGACGTTGCATATATTCCGCACCGGTGTCACCATTTTCCTTGTTTTCCCTGCTTACCTCGTTCCTCCTGTTCTCCCTCGAGCGGGTTATGTCGCTTACATACAGTGTATAAATATAGGATTTACATATTTCAGCGCGTCTCGGGAGAGCTTACGTGTCAGTCTTACACGAACTTGAATACACATCGGTTATTTTCGGTTCGTGAAAAAGATCATGGTTGTAATAATCAAGTCCGCACAGGTCGCACTTTCGGCGCTCATGTGAGAAAAAATATAGCTTCGCGCTTTTATCAAATTCACTGGACTTCACCACACGTCGCGCAAAGATATAATAACTCGAGGTGCTAGGATCACTGCATCCTGAGTGGCTAACATCGACTTCCATTCAGGAAGCATGTTTTCTCGAGCAACAGTCTTCTTAACACTACTTATATAGTATCTGTGGTTGAAACTCTGGAAGAAAAACTCAAGAAAAGAATTTTCCAATATCGAGAGGTAACAAATATCTACCCATTCCGCAAATATACTTTGTCAATTTCCATTATTATACGTTGGTTCTTAATAATATATTTCTCTTCCATCTTCTCTTAACATTTTATCGACATTCCATTAAATTTTCAGTAATTCCTTGAAAGAAAAATTTCTAATGTACCTGTCATTTCTCCGTGATACAAATTAGTGTTAAAACTCTTGTGTTTAAAGGCGATTGTCGCGCAAAGAGTCGATTTAATAAAAATTTAATAAAATTATCCTCTTTCCTCTCTTTTCCTTTTCTCTCAATTACCCTTCTTTCGTTAATGATTTAACAATCAGCTTTGACCTTCTCCTATTCAGCGTGCGAATGTCGATTTAATTAAGATCCGCTTTGACGGTGCCGCGCACGCTACTTTCGCCAAGTTTACGGTTAACCGTTTCAATCCGCGTTTCCCTCCAGCAAATTATTGCGTCAATTCCATCCTAATGAACTAAGTTCTACCCGTACCCCAATTGCAATTGCTGTTGCAGAAACAGCCGTGTATCATAACAGTCACGGCAAACAGCGTGCAACTTCGACGAAAATAATTACACCGCGTTACTATTCTATCGATATAATCTGTATTTGTGTAACGTTAACGTTAATACATACGTGTGTCCCATTACGCGAATCTGACAAAAAAAATGAAAGTTCAGACACTTAATGAATGAAATATAAACGCGCGAGAATAATCTTCACTATTGCTTTTTAATAAATTTTTAATAAAATATTTATAAAATATACTGTCGTGACACGCTTGTGTAATATAATATTGATTAAAATGTAAATTTGAGATCTTATTTTTGATAAAAGAAGAAAATTATTGGGAAATGTGTTATTCGTGTTTCAGTGACAATTTAAAAATGTGTTATAAATAGTCAACAATTTTTTAGAGAAAATCAAGGTTTATTGAAATTTTTACAATTTAGAACACAATTTTTACAATTTAGAACTTTTCAAATAATTATTCAAATTGATTAAAATAATAGAATCTTTCGTTACATTTTTATTCCAAGAACGATACTGTATATTTTTTTGTAAAGTAAAGTTACGAACATCTGCTGCATCATAATTTATCTCGATGAAAAATATTAAGACAAAATTTCGAGACATTCGAAACTTGGCTTCTCTCGAATCTGATTTCTTTTTCTTTTCTGATTGCAATTCTTGTTCAGTTTAAATATTTCAAGAACAATACTGTATATTTTTTGCAATAAGTAAAATAATACGAACATATTGCATCATAACTTATCTAAAAGAAATATTAATACAAAATTTCAAAACCCTCGAAAATTTGGCTTCTCTTTGAATTCTGTATTTTTTTTTTCTTTTCTGACTGCAATACTTGTTCGGTTTAAATATTCTAAGAACGATACGATACTATATTTTCTTGCAATAAGTAAAATAGGAATATGCTGCATCATAACTTATCTCGATGAAAAATATTAATACAAAATTTCGAGACTCTCGAAAATTGACTTTTCTCAAATCTGATTTTTTTCTTTTTTTCTTTTCGCAACATTTGTTCGATTTAAATAAAACTCAGGAGAAAGTACCTATGTTAGAAGAGGATGTTATTTCACGGTAAGTTTCTTTCGCAATAAATACGTAAACGGAAGGCAATGCCGGATGCTCGCCCCTTGTGCCGGCGAGCTCCCGTCTCTCCCATATGAGATGGAAGATGGTGAAATTCAATCCGCTTAACCGAACGCGCTATTGAGACAGTTCTTCGATTGTTGAATACGATTGTTATACCTACCTCGGAGCGTAGTTGCAAACGTACATGTAGAAATCCTTGCCGAGCGGACCCTTGCCGCCGGTGCAATGGCTCACCCCACACCCGACCAGATGCGTCGTCGCCCACACCACCTGCGTGTAATGGCCGATCTCGAGGATCTCATTCGTTGTATTGGGCCCGTACTTGAAGTCCTTGTACTCCATGTACCACATCCTGATGGGGAAGTTCCTGCAACATTCCGACGAATGATTCCGAGGGAGCGATTTCGATTAGTGGTCGTGGCAAATTGTCCGCGTAAAGCGCTCATGTCCGGCGATGTTTGTAAAGCTCATTGTCCACATAGCGAAATCTACCGCGGGACACCACCGCCGACTATATATATATATATATATATGTCCGCGTAGTTTAATTCCAGCTTTGTTGACTGAAGAATTAATTGCAATTAGCAATATCCTCTTCCATCAGCGGGGGCTGAAATTTTCCGATGACTCGGAGCGCGATCGCGACTCCTTTTGAAATTATTATATCGGAGTTTCGCAATTAAATCGCAAAATCCAAAAAATATTGTTGCATCTAACGGCAAGATTAATGATCATCCTTTCCCCCGGATGGTATCTTTTTGAGAAGTTAACTTTGTAAAATGTAAATAATGAAGCCGGTGGGAAAGGTTAATTAACGGCTACATCCGCAACAGATGAACCGCCACATATTTTCATGGAATAAAGTCTGGTGCGCGGAGTACATCTGTACAAATATGCCGAGACTGCGAACTCTCTAACTAGAAGTAAACAAGATTTAATAATATCTCACCAGAGTGTACGACCCGTACTGATGAATATGTTTTGTCCACTCTGGCCGAAACCGTCTAGGTACAGACCGGTTGCATTGTCGTGCACCAAACCGAGACAACGATCGGCCCACCTTTGTGCTGCCTTCGCTAAGCCCGAATGCCATTTCTGAAAAAAAAACATACAAAGAAATCTAATTGAAATTATTGAATATACCAGAGGATGTAGAAATATTATTGCTCCATTGTAAATCGCAAATGTTAAAAAAACTAAAAATAAGAATAAGGAAAAAATTTCTTGAAGCATTATTAATTTATCAATTATAAACTATTTAAAAATACAATTTCTGTTGAAAGTTAAACAAAGAAATCAAACGAGCAACAAAATTCCAGACTAAAAGACTAACAATGCGATCTGATTAACTTTTTATTCAAAGGAGAATATCTGTAAAGAAAATGTCGGTCAGAAGATTCGTAATTGAAAGGCTCTGTACGTTATGTTTAGAAAAAGCTTAAAGTTTAATTAAACGCGTATAATACAGCCACGTTTACGAGTGCAAAAAGTTCTCTCGCGTTTGCCTGCATACGTAAACCAGCGGCAAAAGTTTCTTGACTTTCCCGCGGCTCCTTAATTGCTCGTTATATGCAAATATCGCGCTTTCAAAGCCATAATGTTCGCCCTTCCGTTCGAGGCAAACCCTGCGTTCTCAGAAGTTTCTCGAGAGAAGATGTTGCGCTTCCCTCGATTTTTTTCAGTTATTTCTCACATTTCCCTTTATTTCCCCCGTATTTCCCGCGAGCTCGATACCAAATTATAACTGTAAGTTAACCCTCCGTGAATGAAGCGCGCTTGTAGTCGCAATAACTACGATTATACATAACTTGACGTAAAAAGACGGTTAAAAGTTACGATGCCTCGATATTGCATCCCACGCGCCTATGCTAAGCTTAAGAAAGTCGGAGAGTCCCAAGTCCTAGAGCCGAGGTTCCTTAATCAGAGGCGCTCCTGGATTTATGCATCTCGAGGCGACTGCTTTCTTGCTTATATAAAGTTGACTCTGAATTCTAAGTACCAGGTGCAATATTCTATGGCGCACAATACGCTTTGAAATTGCGTTTTTAATTATTATTTGCCTTGTAGAAAATATATACTCAATATATTAACATTATATTTCACGATTCAATATTTATGCATTGTTATATCAATTTTCTCTCTCTCTCTCTC